TTTTACATCTATTAGGGTTACACATAAAATAGAAAATAATTTATTTTTAGGCAACGAAGTATATATTTATACATATATTTAGTTCAAGTATCACATATATAAGGAATATATTGTATTTATTAGAATGAATTAGATTTCCACACATATTCACAACTTTTGAGACCAAGTCTCAATGGGGGAACTGACTATAGGAATAAAGTTCTTCTGCCCTATTTTTAAGAGTAAACAATAATTAGAATTGAGTATAGGAAGAAAGTTACCTTAACCTCTTTATAGAGTAAACAATAATTATGAACTCCCACCCATATAAGGCCATAATAAATAGGAATATCATAACAGTGGGTCATATTGGGCTAAATATATTACGAGCTTACTCATCTATTCATTTAGCTCAATAACTCTGAAATATATGAAATGTACTTGAATGACTATACAAAATAACCTAAACCAATAAATGAAGACCGTATTAGGTCCAAAAATATTAATTTCTAAATAAATGTAATATTTCTTCCCCACCGTGAACGAGTATTTAGCAGTCAGTGCTGCTCGACTGTAACATTTTTAGTTGTTTGAGTGTGACACCATTAAAATAAAATAAACAAAAAGCAAACAGCGAAATAATTAAAACTGTAAACTTGGTTAGAGCATTTTAATTGACATCAAGCAAATGCAATGTGAAAGGTCTCAAAACGAGTATCTAAGAGGCGGCACCAACCCTGGAAATACCGCAGTTGCTCTCACCACCAGATTCATGCGGCAATGCAAATTCGTTGAATGAAATTTGCTTTAAAGAAACGCGCTCATGCATTTAGTGGACAGCACACACACACACACACATACACACAGCCAGACAGAATAGCTCCTCCCATTAATTAACTAAGTATAAATCTGAGGCGAATCTAATTTATTTAAAAGCACATCAACTTATTAATGGCCAACGGCTGGCATTAAAAATAAAATGATAAAAATGAAAGAATATTTTTCCCAAAAATAAAGTCGAGCATTTAAAAAAAATGTCAAGAGAGCAAGCGACTGGTCACAGCTGACAGCTGTCAAGTGGCCAGGAGGTCACGTCCGAGAGCTCTTGGTCTTTGGGATTTTATTGCGTGAAGAAAAAAGCCGCAGTGCCTCACGCTGCCGGACAGCACTCGAGGGAAATTTAAAACTATGTGGGTCGAGCTATTTACGATAGTTAAAATTAAATCAAGCTAACATATAGTTTTAATAATAAATTTGTTCTATTTAAAAATACAGTTACCTTAATAATTCTCCGTAAATTTTAAGATATTTTTGCGTTTTATGCAGTGTTATCTAGAATTTCGACTATTTAAGTCATAAATAGCTTGTATTTTATTATTTGGCTTCCTTAATGCTTTCTCTTTAAATTGTATTCATTTGGGAATAGAGTTTTTGCCTTTTGTTCGAAATCCAAGACTTTCGAAAACCTTTCGGTTCACCGTCGTTAAGGAAACAGAAAAAAATTAGGAAAAACAAAGCCGTTGGGCATCTGAGTGCTATGCTCGGGTCACATAAAACCATTTTATGACAGCTCTTTGCAATTCCGAAGAGAACAAAACAAGTTGTCAAGTTGATATCGACGCCAACGCATATGACTGATAAGTCAATGTGTGAGGTGTAGGGAAGCGTGATCGACTAAAAAATACCGTGCAATCGACAAAGGGAACCAGTACGAGTATATAAACAATTTTAAATGACATGGATTCAACAATTATCAATCGTAAGAAAAAATATAAAAATAAATTTAAACAAATGCATAAATAAAAAAAAAGAATGTATGTAAATTAAGATATAA